TTATTTAAGTCAAACCAATGAATGCAAGTTTAATATAGGATTGGTGAAAACTATAATATAGATTATATAAAATCTACTATAAAATTTGGAGAAGATCAGCTATATTTTGGAATTGTTTTCATAAAATGGCATCGGTCCTTTGGTACTCATGAAAAAGACAATAAATTCAAAGGCCTATGTTAATGTTTTTGCAATCCACTTTATACTCTGGATTCATAACAGTCCTGGTATTATATTTCAACAAGATGGTACAAGCTGTTACACATTTCTATATACAACTTGGTGGCTTGAAACATATGGCATCCAAGTTTTAGATTGAGTTTCACAAAGTCCTGATCTTAATTCAATCAAAAACTTGTGGGACCATTTAGACTGCCAGATTTGAAAAAAAAACCTTCACTCATGTCTATGCAAGATTTAATTAATACTATACAAGACGAATGGATAAAAATAAGTATTGAAGTAGTACAGAACTTAATTTTGAGCTTGTCTCAATGTGTTAAAGCAGTTATTAAGGCTAAGAGTAAAAACATACTAAAGTTATAATTTATTTTATTTTTTTTGCTGATTATTGTCATATATCTTCCTATCTCAGGAGAAAGATATAAACAGAGAATTAATAGCAGGGAGATACTTTGTATGGATGAACCAATGTGATATGTTAAAGTTTATAAGAGTGTACTAAAATTAGTACAGTTCTGAGATGTATGAGGTCAAGCGAAAGAGGCAATGGTGATTTGTTTTATAAAGGTCAAGTGTTTTTATTAATAAAGAGGAAAGTTCAACCTTGCAATTCCAGGAGGAATTGGAGGCGTTTATATACATATTTTTAGTATATAATTTAGTACAGGATAAGTATATGCTATGGTAGAAATAATAGTTATGGAAGAGATGGTATCTTCGTCAAAATAGTCAACTATACTTGTATTGGTAGAGATAAATATTCTGGTGAAGATAATATAAGGAGTAAAGATAAAATAAAATAGGAATATTCTAGAAATGGTAAATGTGCAATATGTGCCGAAAGTGCAGTAACAGATCTGTAATACAAGATTATTCTAGAATAAACAATATTACAAGGGTAAATGCTACTAAAATTGAACAAGGGATAGTGAAGATCATTAAGCGAAAATCAAGTATAACAATATATATATAATATTACAATTATATCAAATATTGTTTACAATATTAGACTACAGTTAAATGCTATCCTATTCTACTTTTTATTACTCCAGTAATACTAGTGACACTTATGAAATGAGTTTATATTTTTTAAAGAGATCTATTTAAGGGATGGAAATCCTATTACTAGTTTTAAACCATTTAATCTACCAGTTCAATTTTTTGTAAGAAAAGTATAATACTGTTAACTATTTACCTAAGTTACTTATTATATTACATTTTTTTATTTATGTAGTTAATGTAGCAAAGAGATCTTGATATAATATACTGTATATACTTTCTAGTAAATGTTTTAGTTTTTGATTGCTAGTTGACTTTAAGTTACCAAATCTAGAGGCTTTTGTAATCAAGTGGGCATAACTCTTTAAGGAATATATAAGTCATGTTTAAATAAGCTCTCAAGCTTCTTAATTTCCTAGTAGACACTTCAATTTTGAAACCAGTTGGTTTAGATTGCCAAATCTAAGGATATAAATATCAAGTAGGATGCAAAACTCCTATATATATAAACTATCAAGGTAGCTATGTCACACAAGATATTAGTGTTAATTTAGTGTTCTTCTTCAAAGTTTCCTTATTTAATAATCAACAAGAAAAAGGAATTGATAGTTTGGAATTGATTAAAATAGAGTATAGCCCAATCTGTATATCCAAATATGTAGATAGTTCTATAGATTTTTTTTGTTAAACAATTATTATAGCACCATTCTAATGATTCTTACATTACTACATTTTAATAGGAAGGTTCCAATCTCAACACCTACTGGATCAGCATATAAAATGGCTTCTTATGAGAAACAACATTAAACTAGTTATAATGCCAGATATTATGTTAATTCTATTCAATTATCTTTATATAAAATTGAACTAGTATCTTGTAATCTGATTTATAAAACATTAATTACTGTATTATAAACCCAAGGTTATTTTTTTATTATCAGTTTTTATTTATATAAATTTTAAAATTATATATAAATTAATTTATTAAAATATATAATTTTATAAAAATAAAACTATAAATCTCTTTCTGATAATTCCTTTATCAATCCAAAAAAAACAAATATTTTTAAAAATATTCTTTATTTTTAATAATAATATTTATATATATTTTTTAATATTTTATTTTCTGAAGGCTGATATTTTTTTTACTTGTTTATCTTTTTTTCTTTAAAAACTTTGTATATTTTTAATAACAAAATAAATAAAACTTTATCCATTTAATTTATAACAAGAATATCTTATTGAAAAAAAAGAAATCTATTAAAAAAATACCTTTCATTATATTTTTCTTAAGTCTGAAACTCTAGAAAGCAAACTACTATTAAATATATTTTCTAAGCTCCATAAGAATCTTAAATCTATTGTAAATAAACACCTGAGATCTAAGATGAATAGATAAGCTAATAAAAAGTTTATTTGAGTATATAATCTTTTTTTATCAATTATATATAATTGTAGTAGTATGTTAAAATTTTTTTATTTATTTTGAAAAATTTTTGCCTATCTATAGTTTAATCTTGAATTTTTTGTTATATTGAAAGAAATTTTGATTAATAATTGGTTAAAATCTTAAACTGGTTAATCAACACATAAAAAAAATATAAACAAAATATGTATCTTTATATATTTTATATTATATTATATTACAACTAATGATATAAATAGATATAGCAAAAAAACAAGATATTGAGATATTCTTTTGATAAGAAGTGACTTGAAGTTTTTCTTCTTTTCTTTTATACTAGTTTCTTTTCTTTTCAAAATTAAAGAAAGTTCTCATTAGACTGGTAATTGATTTAGATAGATTTTATTTTATCAGTATAAACTTTTTCCTTTCTCTTTTGTCTTTTTCTTTTATCTTTTTAAAAAAATAATAATTTTTATACCTTAGAACCACAAAGGTTAAGTTAAGATAACAGTCTTAATAAAAGATTAACTATAATATTTTAGATAAACAAAAAATGTTTTCTTTAATTAAGCAATTTTTTTATTTCCTTTAATTATATCTAGAAGCTATTGATTGTTGATGGGTATGCTATATAATATTAAAAAGTTTTATCATTAATATATACAGTATATAAATGATACTATATGTATTCTGTAATATCTATACTAGAATCCATTCAATCCTAAAGTTTGAAACTAATAAACTTGTAATATATAGCTTGATTAGGTATAAATATAAATATATATATATATTTATTAAATTTATAAAAAAATTTTTTAAAGTATTTTAATTTTTAATATTTTTTGTTTTTTAATAAAATTTATTAAAAAATATTTTTTTAATTTTATATTTTATAATTAAATATTATTTTTTAATATTATATTTTCTTTTTATTATTTTTTTATATATATTAAATATCAATAAATATTAAAAATTTTAAAAACTTATATCAATGAGTAATAGTACAATAGATAGTACTCTATAATTTCCAAATATATATTTTTAGTTCAATATCACAAGAGACAAAATATATAAATTTATCTTTTATTTATAGGTTTATTGATTTTCTACAAATATCATATTCAAATATTCAGATCTTGTTCAAATTCAGCTAGGTTATATAAAGATAGAATCTTTGATTTTTCTAATAATTGTGGATTGAAATAACAGATCAAAGTAGGAAAGGTTATATGAAGAAAGGCTTCTGATTTAACTTTAATAAAAGTTCATAAAAATCTATATCTTTTGATAGCAGATTTTGTAATATAATATTAATAAAGAAGCAAATTCTAAATCAATTTATTCTAATATAATATTTTGAGATCTATTTTAATACTGGTACTTTTTGAGCTTAAACATATGGATCATATAAGGCAAAACTATTAATTATAAATAATGAAAAAATAAACAAAAATCATCAAGTCAAGTAAGTCTATTGAAAGCCAAAACAAAAATAATTAAAAATTCAAGCAAAAATGCTATAGCTACAAATAGTAAGAACAGTAATATTATACTATACTAATAATATATCCTGAGAACTATTGATAACAGGTAACTGGAGTAACTGGGATCATACATGTAGTCATATTACTATAAAAGGAAATTTGATCAACAATATGATTCTGAATTAAATACGAATTCCAATTATTTACTATATGTTACTTAGTAATTCTACCATAATATGATTTTTGAAAAATGATTGAATTTAATTCCATCACATGTATAACTGGGATCAGTCTTTATAATAATATTCTACTAATCTCAATTATAAGCAGCTACAAGGTTGCTAAATTTGAATCTAGCAGGTAGGTAGGTTTAAACTGACAGCAGAAATTTCTATCTCTTGAATTTAATTTACCTGATATATAGACATATCTAAAAGATGTAAATTTATTAGTTGAGTTAACAAAAGTGGATAGGTAAGTTGTTATTAGAAATAGTCAATAGGTAGTATTAATTCTATATATAGAAGATATAAAAATGTTTAAATTTAATTATACATGTTTCCATATGTAGAAGACACTTGATGTCTGTCTAGATATATTTGTATCAATAAAGATATGCATCGATACATGTTCACCTTTTAAAAAAAAAAAAAAAAAAAAATTCTAAAAACTACAAAATCTTTAAAGCTCTGAATTATATTATGGTTGAATAATGTTCTTTTTTGTTACATGTCTATTTTTTATCATCTTATAATAAGTTAATTAAATAAATTAATAAAAAAAGATGATAATAAAGTATTATACATTTAATTGACTAGCTATAATACATTTAAATATTTATAAACCAGTTATAATATTTTATTCAATGTCAATTTTAAAAGCATAAATTGCAGAACGCGATATAATTCATGTCCCAGAGTAAGACTTCAAGAGAAATGAATGGAATTCATTAACGCTTCATAGGTTAACGCCAGGTCATGGGGAAGAGATTTCACAAATTTATCTTCAGTCATCCCCATACTTTTTTGGAGTGATTCCGCGAATGTATCCATACCTGTTTGGGGTGATCTTGTAAGGACATTATTGACATCATCGGACACGTTTTCATTTATTGGGAAGGAACCCTGAGGGATAACCGGCAAATTGTGATCTGTAAAATAAATTGGGTATTTCTTTCTGAACTCAGCCTTAACATCATCTGCTAATTGTTTGTAAAATATTTTAACATTTGTTGGTTCATTTTTCCATGAGTTACTTGCTAACATAGAGATATTTCCAATACAATTTTTTGGAGCTTCGCGAATATAAACTTTTCTATAAATAAGAAAGGCATTTAACGTCTTATTAACTTTTCTAAGACCTTTTTTCAAATGAATTTCGACTATTTCTCTAACGGTAATTGAAGGTGGAAATGAAAGTTTATGAGGTTTAATATTTTTGGTCATGATTAGAAATTAGGAATATTAATGTTTAATTTTTAGTTAAACGAAAACTCGAGACAGATAAGAAAAGACTCGTTAATTTATAATCTTTCGGTACGCGCTTTCATTGTAGCTTTCGAATTCTTTTGTAGGCTACAATGTTTGTTTAACAAAAAACAATCTATGTATGGTGACCCATGTACTACAGATATGAACACGAAAATTTTATAAAAGTGGAAATGTAAACGAATCTCGTTCCAACGTTTGAGCAATATTTACAATAAACAAATGTATCCCCTGTAAGATAGTTCTAGTCACGTAATGATGCATATACTATATGTAGTTAAAGTTTCTGTATGTGGAGAAGTGGCACCACAACCCAATTGGACTTTACCTCTAAATACATGTATTATATAATGATTTTCTATTATTGGCAATGACAGTCATCAATATTTATTTAATATAAGCTCAAATATTTTTTAAATTAAACTTATTAATAATATTAAAATATGTATTAGTGTTGCAAAAAAAATCACATATATATTTTTATTATAACTTAAAATTTTAAATATAATTGAATTAATATTTGTTTCTTAAACTTTATTATTAACAAATTTGTTTATAATTTAAATTTATTAAAATTGGTTTATAAATTTTTTATTTTATTTTAAGTTTTATCTAAGTTTGTTTAAAGCAAATAATTTTAGTACAATATATTAAAACTTTACAATAAAACAATTATTTTTTACATTTTCTAGGAAATTTCATTATTAATAATTGTAATTTTAAAAGTTATATTAGATAAAGTAAAAAAATATACAATATTATTAAAGTATATATTATTTGCAAAGCTTTTTTATTTAAAATATTTAATTGGTTGTTTAATTCTTTTAATCTTATAATATTTTACTTTTTAAACAAGTAAATTAAAGGTTATTGCAATAAAATATATAGTAATCTTATTGTATTTAAAATTAAACTACTATTTAAAATCTTTTTTATTTAAGAATTTTTGTATTATTATATATTCAAAGCAATATTTTTTACCTTTATTATTTATTAACAAAAAAAAATTCAATTAAATAATAAATTTTATTAATACTATATTTTATTTAAATAATAACTTTAACTAATTACTATTATTGAATAAGCAATTAATTAATATATAACTTTATATATAATTATTTTTTTTTGATATTTGATTTTAAAAATTAAATTAATGCATTATCTAAAACTTTATTTCTTTTATATAATCTTATTTAAAAATTATATAACAGTATAGCAAAACACTTTATTATTTATAAATATCAAATAAAATTAAAAAATAATTCAAAAACAACTTATAACAAAATTTAAATTTAACTTATATAATAATAATTAATTAATAAGATCAATAGATCAATAGCACAGTGGGTAATGCTCCGTGGTCTCCAAATGCATGTCCCTAGTTTAATATTCACAAGGGGCAAAAATGCATAAATTCATCTTTATTGTGGGTTTCACTGAATTTCTACAAATGTCGTATCCAAACATCCAGCTCTTGATTAAATTTAGTTAAGTTGCATGAAAATGGAACCTCTGGTCTTTCTGACGATCATGGGCTAAAAACAGGTTAAAGCAGGAAAGGTTGCATAAGGAAAGACTTCTGATTTAACTCTGATAAAAGCCTCACCACATTCCATATTATTAGAAAATAAGCCAGCTTGAAAGAGATCGTTGATGTGGATATTATTTCTGAACAGACTATAGCTAGCTTATTTAAAAAAATTCTGCTGTAGGAATTGCATCCTGCTTGGCATTCGTACCCCTAGATTTGGCAGCCAAAGCCAACCAATCTTCCTCTTGAAGTGTCTACTAGGAGATAATAGGAGTCATGTCCCACTTGGCATTTATGCCCCTAAATTTGATAGTATGTGTTAATCAAGAGGTAAGCTCTTGGAGCATTTGCTATAAAATATAGGAATTTTGATACTCCCTGGTCCTAGAGGCTGGTAAGCTAAAAACATGATGTGAAAGGTATCTTATCGAATAATAATACAAGCCATATAAGAAAAATGACTTCTTAATCTTAAACCACTTGAGTGTACTACCTTCTTAAAAATTCAAGATAAAAAGTATTAAGGTATCCAGTTGTTCTATTTACCTTTGCAAGGTAGATTTGCCTTTTGACAAAAATAAATTAACAGGTTAGGTGATTTAAAAACTGGTGACAAGATTTCCATCTCCTAATTAGTCCCACCATAACATAAAAATAAGTTCATCATAAGTGTAAGTTTATAAAGTTAAGATTAAGAAGTAGAGTAGATTAGTATTAGCTATAGTTTAATATTATAGAAGATGTACGATATATAATCAATAATTCTTATATCAATAAAAATAATTGGTATCTAAGCCTGTTCTACTATAAAAATAATAATAATAATAATAATTAATTAATTTTCTAATCAATATATTTATTTTAATTTCTAAAACATCTATATAAAATAATTTTAATTATTTTATATATTTAAAATCTTATTTTTGATTATTATAATTTTTTTTTTTTAATTTTAAATTAAAAATTTTTTAATATAGATTAAATATTATTATAGACAAGTTAATATTTAACTTATTATATAATCAGTAGATCAATATTACAATGGGTAGTGCTCCCTGGTCTCCAAATGCATGTCCCAAGTTCAATATCTACAGGAAGCAAAATGTATAAAATTTATTTTTCATTTGTGGATTTATTAGTTTTCCTATAAATATTATATTCCAAATATCTGAATCCTAACAAAATTTAATTAGGCTGCATAAAGATAGAACCTCCGGTCTTTCTGATAATCACAGGCTGAAAACAGGTCGAAGCAAAAAGATTACATAAGAAAAGATTTCTGGTCTAACTCTAATAAAAAGTTTACAATTCCCCTGATATAGCAGACTCTGTAACACAAATAATACTCTAGCCTGGGGCAATCCCAATCTGGCACTTGCTTAAAAGAAGAGAACCCCAAAAAGGAAATCTGAAGCTGCAGATAATAACAAAGAGTATAATATCTTTTTCGAGAAACCAGGCGAAAAATATTTGGAATATCCAAGTATTTTAATTATCCTTATAAAATATATCAGCTTCCTATCTCATTGGATTAACAGATTCAGATAGTTTAAAACTAATAACAGGATTTCTATCCCCTGGATTAATTCCACCTAATATATAAGCCCATCTGCTTGGTATAAGTTTATATAATCAGGTTATAAAAGTAGATAGGTAAGTTATTACTAAAAATAATCAATAGGCTGTATTAATTCTATATATAGAAGACATCATAATGTAAACTCCATTATACATGTTTCCATATATAAAAGACACTTGATATTTGTCTAGATATTATGTATCAATAAAGATTGCATCAATGTATATTCACCTTTAAAAAAAAAAAACAATTTAATTATCAAAGTTCTTATAAAAAGTCTTGAATTATAATATAAATATTGATCAATTACTTTTGATTCATATGCAATAATCTTTTTAAGCCAATCTTTATCAGATTTTCTTGAATTATTTTTTTTAAAATATAATTTTTTAAGATTATAATAAATAGTTGATATAGTTATACCAGTTCTAAAATATATTTTATTTGCAAAAGTAATTTTATTCTTTTATAAATATAATATACAGTAGTTTGATATTGTATATGTTTTCAAAAAATGATATTGTAAAAGTAAATTTATAAAAAAAATAAAACAAGTTGAAAAATTTAATAGTATATACTATATATATTTGTTAAGATATGTTATTTATATATTTAAAATTTCACATAAATTGTTTTTTTTTTTTTTATATATATCTAATCAGGCCATATTGTCAAGTTTATTTGTATTTATTGCTAGATGGAATTTACCTGAGATACAAATATTAAATACATATAGTACCAATCATATCTATATTAAAGGTTAACTTTATATATATATATGGCACACCCGTCAATGGCTACTGACCTCTAGATGTAATTAAAGGAAATGAAAAAGTTGCTCTATCTTAACCCACATTCTTTATAGATCTCAATCTCATCGCCAGCCCTTTATTAAGACTGTTTACCCCAACTTAACCTCTGTGATCCTAAGGTATAAAAATTTTTATTTTTTGAGAAGATAAAGGGGAAGGGTAAAAGGGAAGAAGAAAAGTTTGTGCTGGTAAAATAAAAACTCCACCAAAACCAATCATTAGTCTAATGAGAGCCTTCTTTGACCTTGAAGAGAAAAGAAACCAGCACAAAAGGGGAGGGAAGGACTTTTAAATACTTCTTATCAAGAGGACATCTCGACACCTTGCTTTTTTGCTTTATCCAATTACATTATCAGTTATAATGTGATATAATGCAAGGCATGTGTGGGTATGTGTCTTGTTTATATTTCTTTTACTTATTGATTAACCAATCCAAGATTCCAGCCAATCATTATTCAGAGTTTTCAGTGTAACAAAAAATTCAGGATCAAACTGAGGTGGACAAAATTCCTCAGAAAAATTAAGAAAAATTGAACATGCTTGAAAGTACTATCTACAGATATGTATGAATGGTGGAAAGGTTCATACATCTGAATAATAGACTTCTAATAGCTTATTTACTTGTCCAGACCAAGGGAGTTACTTATGGTGGACCCAAGGTTTTCATATTACTTGGGAGTGTATTTATTGTATAGGCCCAACTAGCTTATCCACTTGCCTTGATAAGAGGTGTTTGCTTATGATGAATCCAAGATTCTTATGGATCTTGGGAAATGTATTCATTAGTGGTTTACTTTCTAAAGTTCCTAACCTAAGAAGAAAATAGTGAAGGATATTTTTCTATAAGTTTTTTCTTTCCAGTAAGGTGTTCTTGCTGTGGATCAAATGGGTAAAGTTTTGTTTATTTTGTTATTGAAATATACAAAGTTTCTAAAAGAAGAAAAGGTAAACAAGTGAAAGAGGCACTAGCCTTCAGGAAGTAATGTTTTTAAAGAGAGTGTATAAACTTTATTATCAAAAATAAAAATTATTTTTG